ATCCCAATACTGCCTCGGGCGGTTTACGTTCGCGTCCGCGTAGTACCGCGCCACGTTTGGCTGCGCTGTCTTCCAAACTGCCCCTCGTGAAGCGCCACCTGGAGGCCTTCGCAGTCACTATTCTCGCAGTGGTCTAAACCCTAAACCCTAAACCCTAAACCCTAAACCCTAAAACCCTAAACCCTAAACCCTAAACCCTAAAGAAGGGCGAAATGTTGCACAGCGAAGTCAACAAACTGTTCACCAACGCGGGGGTGTTTCCCGCGCCCTGCATAAACCCTAAACCCTAAACCCTAAACCCTAAACCCTAAACCCTAAACCCTAAACCCTAAACCCTAAACCCTAAACCCTAAACCCTAAACCCTAAACCCTAAACCCTAAACCCTAAACCCTAAACCCTAAACCCTAAACCCTTAAATCGGGAGGCGACTGGATCTCAATGAAGGAATTATTCATTTCCATTCCTAATTTAAATCCGATTCAAATTAAATTGAATCAAATCAAATCAAATTAAATCAAATCAAATTAAATCAAATTAAATTGAATCAAATTAAATCAAATTAAATCAAATTAAATCAAATTAAATCAAATTAAATTAAATTAAATTAAATTAAATTAAATTAAATTAAATTAAATTAAATTAAATTAAATTAAATTTATTTTTGGTTTTTCCCCCACCACATTTTTGCTTCTGCGTGGCGCTGCGCCCTGAAGAGCAGCACGCCTTCGTTCCATCCTGAAGGCAAAATAAAATTAAATAAAATAAAATAAAATAAAATAAAATAAAATAAAATAAAATAAAATAATAATAATAATAATAATAATAGTAATAGTAATAATAATAACAATAATAATAATAATAATAATAACAATAATAATAATAATAATAATAGTAATAATAATAATAATAACAGAAACAATAATAATAATAGTTATTGTTATTATTAAAAATTTAAATTAATAAAAAAAAACAAAAAATAATTATTAAGAAATGGCCAGAGGGCTGCGAGTGCGCAGCAGCAAAGAAGCAGCACTTTTTAATTTTAATTATTTTTAGTTTTAATTATTTATAATTTTAGTTCTTTTTAATTTTAATTATTTTTAATTTTAATTATATTTATTTTCAATTATATTTCATTTTAATTATAATTATTTCATTTCCAATTTTGACTATTTCAGTTTTAACTTTGGTTAATCATTTTTAATTTCAATTATTTTTAATTTCAATTATTTTTATTTTTATTATTTCATTTTTAATTTAAATTCTTTTCCGATCTCACCATGACCCGCAATCCACCGGAGCTCACCCAGAGGCCACTGAGCCACCAGAGATCCTGTAAACCACCAAATGAGCCATTAGGGTTTAGGGTTTAGGGTTTAGGGTTTAGGGTTTGCAGTTGCTCACGGTTTTCTGCGAGCCGCATCATGAGCTCGAGTTTTCTTTCTTTCCTTCTTTCCATGCAAATGGCTCTCCTGTGAAATGCAAATATCATTTAGGGTTTAGGGCTTAGGGTTTAGGGTTTAGGGTTTAGGGTTTAGGGTTTCTGCAAATCACCGGAAGCCTGCTGCGAAGAACTGAAGGTCTTTTGCCTGGGAGAAAAAGCACCAAAATGAGAAAATAATTTTCTCAATTTAAAATCATTATTAATATTTATATTTAAATCAAATTAATTTGAATAAATATAAATCAAATTAATTTAAATAAATATAAATCAAATTAATTTAAATAAATATAAATCAAATTAGTTTAAATAAATATAAATCAAATTAATTTAAATAAATATAAATCAAATTAATTTAAATAAATATAAATCAAATTAATTTAAATAAATATAAATCAAATTCATTTAAATAAATATAATGATTTAAATAAATATAAATTAAATTGATTTAAATAAATATAAATTAATTTAAATTAAATTAAATTTAGTTCGATTTTGTTTTTCGAGCAGAACAGCACACAGGAAGGCGCAGCGGACAAACCGCGGAGAGAAATAAAAAGAATTCAAACTTAACCAAATTAAAATTCAATTTTAAATTTGAATTCAAATTAACTTCCAAATTTGCATTTAAATTCAAAACTGGAGTTAAATTTGAAATTAAAATCAAATTTGAATTTAAATTTATTTCCAATTCGGCGCCGCCGCACCTCGCGAGCTGTCAGTACACCCAAAACGCCCAGCGCCACCCGAGAGCTCAGTTCGTCTTCGGCAATTTCCAGCGAAGTTTGGAACAGCATTTCGTCTGAAAACAAATAAATAAACAAAAAAATAAATAAATAAATCAATTAATTAATTAATTAAAACAAAAAGAAACAAAAAATGACAAAAAATGAAACAAAAAAAGTGAAAACGAATTCTTTAAGTGGCGCTGCGAGCGCCCGCTGACGAGGTGTACGTACACCCCACGAGTCCCAGCAGGTTTTCTGCAAACGCCTTTTCCGCCAACTCTTTTGCGCATTTCCTTTTTTCTTTTCTTTCTTCCTGCTGCTGCTGCTGCTGCTGCTGCTGCTGCTGCTGCTGCTGCTGCTGCTGCTGCTGCTGCTGCGGAGAACCTTCAAAAGCCAGGATGCAGACGGCTTCGAACTGCAGCAAGAAGGAGAGCCGCAGCAGATTGTCTGTTGCTTTTGTTTTCACTTCCTGGAGTTGCAAATAAAAAAAGAATTAAAATCAAATTATTTTAATTTCAAATTAACTTTTTAATTCATCAAATCAACTCCAACTCACCCGACTCCTCAGCTCTATCTGCAGCCGCTCCAGAGCTGCAGCAGCAGCGGCCACAGGCACTGGGGGCCCCCCTAGGGGCCCCTCTAACCTGCTGCTGCTGCTGCTGCTGCTGCTGCTGCTGCTGCTGCTGCTGCTGCTGCTGCTAAGTGTGGGGCCCCACAAGTACCCTTCTTGGGGGCTGTCTGTGGCTGCTGGAAGGGGCTCAGCTGCGGGGCTTCCCACGGGGGCCCCTGGGGGCCCCTCGAGGGGGCCCCCCGGGGGGGCCCCCCGGGGGCCCCTCATTTGCTGCTGCAGCAAAACCCTTGCTGCAGCAACAACAGCAGAAGCGCAAAGAAATAAATGCGTTTCTGCTGCTGCTGCTGCTGCAGTGAAGCGGAGGGCGAGTGCATACAGCTCAGCAGCTTGGGGTGTACAGACAGTTCAGGAGGTGGCGGAGTTGAAACAAAGGAAATTTTATTTATTATTTATTTATTTATTTGTTTATTTATTTATTTATTTATTGTTTATTTATTTATTTATTTATTTATTTATTTATTTATTTATTTATTTATTTATTTATTTATTTATTATTTATTTATTATTTGTTTTACTTACATGTCAAAAATAAATCAAATTGAGATGAAGACAAAGAGCTGCTGCTGCCCTCTTGAAAGGCCCGGCCGCCTTCTGCAGTGCTGCAGCAGAAAATGAAAAGTTTTGAATTTAATTATTTTTATTATATTCTCATTTTAGTGTTAATTAATTTAATTAATTTTATTAAATTAATTAATTTAATTAATTTAATTAATTTAATTAATTTAATTAATTAAATATTTAAATTAAATACAAATCAGTAATTGGCAAACTCAAAATAAAACAAGACAGACATTATCCAAGCCAGACTTCATTTCCGTCACGTCAGCAATTCATAGGTATTCAGCAGCAGCAGCAGCAGCAACAGCAGCAGCAGCAGCAACAGCAGCAGCAGCAACAGCAGCAGCAGCAACAGCAGCAGCAGTAGCAGCAAGAGTAGCAACAACGGTAGCAGCAACAGCAGCAGCAACGGCAGCAGCAACAGTACCAGCAACAGTAGCAATAACCGCAACAGAAGCAGCAGCAGCAACAGCAACAGTAGCAGCAACAGCAACAACAGCAACAATAACAGCAGCAACAGCAGCAGTAGCAGCAGCAGCAACAGCAGCAGCAATAACAGCAGCAACAGCAGCAGTAGCAGCAGCAGCAACAACAGCAGCATTAACAGCTGCAACAGCAGCAGTAGCAGCAGCAGCAACAGCAGCAGCAATAACAGCAGCAACAGCAGCAGTAGCAGCAGCAGCAACAACAGCAGCAATAACAGCAGCAACAGCAGCAGTAGCAGCAACAGCAACAATAGCAGCAATAACAGCAGCAATAACAGCAGCAACAGCAGCAGTAGCAGCAGCAGCAACAACAGCAGCAACAGCAGCAGTAGCAGCAGCAGCAGCAACAGCAGCAATAACAGCAGCAACAGCAGCAGTAGCAGCAGCAGCAACAACAGCAGCAATAACAGCAGCAACAGCAGCAGTAGCAGCAGCAGCAACAACTGCAGCAATAACAGCAGCAACAACAGCAGTAGCAGCAGCAGCAACAGCAGCAATAACAGCAGCAACAGCAGCAGTAGCAGCAACAACAGCAGCAATAACAGCAGCAACAGCAGCAGTAGCAGCAGCAACAACAACAGCAGCAATAACAGCAGCAACAGCAGCAGTAGCAGCAGCAGCAACAACAGCAGCAATAACAGCAGCAACAGCAGCAGTAGCAGCAGCAGCAACAACAGCAGCAACAGCAGCAGTAGCAGCAGCAGCAGCAATAACAGCAGCAACAGCAGCAGCTGCTGCTGCAGTGCCTCACCAAAAGGTGTGGACGTATTCTGCAGCCTGCGGCTCTGCGAGCAGCGGGAGATCTTCGAGGGGCCCCTAAAAAGGTTTTTAAAATAAAAAAATGAATTAAATTAAATCAAATTAATTAAATTAAATAAATAAATTAATAATTAAATTGAATTAAATCAAAAAGAAATGAAAAAGAAGATGCAAACAACAACTGCAGCCGTAGCGCATGCGCAGCTGCTGCGGCTGTCAAAAGAAGCAGCAGCAAACACGAGGACAGCAGCAGCAGCAGCAGCAGCAGAGCAGACACAAATGAAGCCAAAACCCACCATATATCACCACAGCAACAGCAGTATTACTGCTGCTGCTGCTGTTGCTGCTGCTGTTGCTGCTGCTACAGCAACAGCAGCAGCAGCAGCAGCAGCAGCAG